CTCCCTGTAGCCCCAGTAGCAAGGAACTCACTATGTAGACCAGGCTGGCCTTGAACTCAGAGATCCGCCTGCCTCTGCCTCCCAAGTGCTAGGACTACAGGCACGCACCACCACACCCAGCTTGTCCCTAGCATTCTTACAAACATTTTTCAGGCCCTTCCAAGCACATCTCTCTAAATAAATAATTCTCCAACTGATGGATTTTCTGTGGCCATCAGTAGTGTTCCTCCACAAAATGACCATTCCATCCCCCATCAAGATGTGTCGACGAAGGAGCTGGTGGGCAAGGAATGTACACAGGTGAAATGGTACTTTCTTAGCATGCAAGAAGTCCATGAATTCCAGACCTAGTATCCAAATAAATCATGTGTGGTGGTGCACGCCTGTAGTTCCAGTGCTTGGGAGGTTCAGGTAAGAGAAGTTCAAGGTCATCTTCAGCTACATAGCAAGCTTGAGGCCAACTTGAACTATGAGAAACTGTGTCTCAAAAAACAAACAAAGCCAGGCGTGGTAGTGCACGCCTGTAGTCCCAGCACGGCCAGCGTGGTCTACATAGTGAACTCCAGGCCAGCTGGGGCTACAGGGAGACCCTGTTTCAAAAAGACCGAAAAAAAAAAAAAAAAACACTTCAAACAAACATGTCTCAAAACACAAAATGAAACGCCTCAAACAAAAAAGGAGTTTGCTAAGGGAGATCTGATTGGGAAACCCAAAGACTCCATGAAAAGGATGAACTCTGACAGCAAGGACAAAATTTTCAGCCGCAAAATGAATAAAATCAGTAGGATTGGGATGGGGTTTCCAAGGTCTTCAGAGATCAAAGCAACAAAAACTCTCTCACTCTCTCATTTAAAAAATGACAGTACAGGGACCTTCGAGATGGCTCAGCAGGTAAAGGCACTTACTTGCTGTCAAGCCTGATAACCTGAGTCAATCCCTGGGACCTACAAAGTATAGTGGAAGGAGAGAACAAACTGACCCCTGACCTTCACACTGGTGCTATGGCATATCCATGGTGGCTAACAACCATACATAACTCCAGTTCCAGGGGATCTAAGGCCCTCTTCTGACCTCTACGGGTATTGTACAACATGGGTGGATTTACATACAAGCAGGCAAAACACTCATATACATAAAATAAAAATAAATCAACCAAAAAATTAACAATAGAACAAATCGGTTTCTTAAGGAAAAAAAGGTGGTGAGGAATGAAAGAAGACACGCAGATATTGACCTCTGGCCTCCATGGGAACATGTATGAGCAAGGGCAACCTCACATGCATACACTTCACAGACCTACACACACACACACACACACACACACTTAAACAAATAAATATTTTTTAAAAGATGGCTTGACAGCAACTGTGAACTCCAAACACACCTCCCCAGCAGGAAACACAGTAACAGCCTGGGCTTCCTAGAAAGCTGGGCTTTCCCGTACCAAGGCACTGGCTTTCATTAAGACACCCACAGCCACTGTCTTTCTCAAGAGCCTCTTCTGTTTCTTATTTCAGGGATAACTCAGCCTTCATGTGAGTTCAGCAGAGACGTGAGTCATGTTTTCTCTCAGACAGACATGTGCTGAGCATGAAAACTTACCTCATCGTCATCCATCAGGTTTTCCTTAGCAAAGTCATATAGTTCTTTCTGGAGTGTGGTCACATTGAAGAACTGAACTGCTTCCTGTTCAGACACAGAGAGAACAGCTCAGACAACCAGTCTTTTAATGTGAGAGCTAGCAGGAAGTGGGCACAGGGTCCTGGATTTCATTCAAGGGTGGTGAAAATGTTTAAAATCAGATGGTGGGACAGGCTGTACAACTCTGAATATTCCCAACAATCACTGAACTGCGTAATTTAAGAAGGTGAGGGACTGGAGAGATGGCTCAGCGATTAAGATCACTGGCTACTCTTGCAGAGGACCCAGGTTCAGTCCCCAGCACCTGAGAGGAGGCTAAAAACCATCTGTAACTCTAGTTCCAGGGGATCTGATGCCCTCTTTTGGCCTCCATGGGCACTGCATGAAAACACGGTACACTTACACAAAGGCAGACAAAACATTCAGACACATAAAATTAAAACAAACAAATCAGTCAGGTATGGTGGCATGTGCCTTTAGTCCCAGCATTCAGGAGGCAGAGGCAGGCGGATCTCTGTGAGTTTAAGGCCAACCTGGTCTACATAGTGAGTTCCAGGCCAGCTGGGGCTACAGAAGACTCTGTCTCAAAAAGACCAACAAACAAACAAATAATCATAAACAAAACAAAAACAAATAAAAAAAATTGTTTTAACATTAAAAAAAATTCCCTATTATCTGACATTTGTGATGCTTACAGAAATCATAACAAAACAATAAGCTGTCAAGATAAAAAAAATACAGAAACATGAGGTTTTCTTCATTTCAGAAGTGATTCTTTCTCTTAAGGCAAAATGGTCTCTTAAAGGCTTGGAAAGAGGAGGGTGTGGGTGGGGCCTGGTGTGGGACACTCACCGGTCTGGGCTGGAAATGTTCGTCAGAGAGGCCCCACTTATCCCTGTGATACTGGTAATACACCAGGTTCTGTTTCATAACCTTGTCCTCCGGGTCAAAGAGTAGGTAGCTAACCGCACAGGGGGCTGCATTCTTCAGGTCACTCACTGCAGAGGGAGAGAGGAGGCCAGGGAGGTGAGTAAGCCGTGCCCTGTGCTCCCCTCCAGCCAGCCTCCTGGAAGCTGGAAAGAATAAGGTTTCTCCTCCAGTTCCTCCTCCACAAACCCTTGGCCCCAGCATCACCATGGCAGGGCACAGCCTGAGACTCCTAGCAGACCAAAGGCCAGTTTGAAATGTAGATGCTCCCTTTCCAGAGACTACCGCAGGCTTCAGACAACTGAAGCCAGTCCCAGAAGGGGAGTCTCCAGGCCTGGACCATCCTGGAACTGAGGGAGACATGTACTTAGCCACAAGCTTCCTGCTGAAGGGTGCAATTCCTGGATCCCATCTGGTTAGGACCATAATCTCCATATGGGAGATTCCTCCACCCAAACTAGACTTGGAAGACTATGGATGTAGCTCAGTTAGTAAAGTGCTTGTCTAGCATGCAGGAAGCCCTGGGGTTCAACCTCCAGTACCACACAAACCAAGTAGAATGGCATAGCCCCCATCACTTGAGAGGTAGAGGCAGGAGGATCAAGATTCAAGGTCATTTTTGTCTATGTAGTGAGTTTGAGGTTAGCTTGGTCTATATGAGGCTCTGTCTCTAAATAAATAAATAAATAACAGAAAGACCTAAAGCTACAGAAGTCAACCATATAAAGCTTGGTGGACTCTCAGGACTGGGAGAGATGGAGGTTACTGGTCCTGCCGTCTCCCCAGCCCAGGGTTCCCACCTCGAGCTTCCCTGCTTAGAATCTCTCCACCCACATCACAATCAACAAAAGGATCCTGCAGGGTTTGAGATTTGTCTTGGATGAGAGAGGAGTAGACAAAAAAGAAATGAGACACAAGCCCTGGGGTATTTATTCTGGCACCTTCCACTGCACTTTGAACCAGTAAGACTAGGACAACTATTATGCAACAAAGCTCTGGTTAGCACTGGTGATGCAGTTCGGGAATGACTCAATTCTGCCACCTAGTGGCTGTTTCTTATCATAACCATTTCAAAACCTGAACTTTAGGGTGCTCACTATTCACAAAGCCTGTGTGGCTGACGAAGGTTTCAAATGTGAATTACGACTACCCTCAAGAAATTTGGTGTGGTAGGAAATCTAAAAAGTTCGAGAGGGCTGGAGAGATAGCTCAGCGGTTAAGAGCACTGGCTGCTCTTTCAGAGAACCTGGGTTCAATTCCCAGCACTCGCATGGTGGCTAACAACCATCTGTAACTCCAGTTCCAGGGGATGACACCCTCTTCTGGCCTCCACAGGCTTTGCAGGACATGGATGCACTTGCATACATGCACACAAAACACTCATACACATAAAAAAATAAAAATAAATAAATAAATAAATTTAAAAAAAAATTTTTTAAAGACTTCAAGATAGGAAAGACTTACAGGAGACCCAATTCAGAAAATTAATTTTACTTACACTGTTTATCTTCAACCCTAGAAAGCAAAGACTTCCCAGGAAATAGAAGCCAGAATTGGAGTTCAAGCCCAGCAGTCTGGTTCAGGGTCTGCACCTGAATGAAGAGGCCATGTGCTCTCTTCATGCACAGCATACATGTGACCCTGACCGACCCTCTCAGCCGCTGTAGATAAGGGAGTGCCCAGGGAAGTTGAGTCTTAAGAGAAATCAATATCTCCCTCAAGATCCTGTGGAACGTTACTTACATTTATAATAAGCAAACTGTAAATAGTGATACATGGTGGCTACGAATTTCTCCACAGGATAGCCTCCTATGACTGGAGTCAGGTTCTCTTCACACTGAATTTTGCACTCAAGAACTTCTATATAATGATCTGCAAAAGAGACATAAATTCTCAGAACAATCTCTCTCTCTTGCTCTCATATTCAAATTGTCTTAAAATTAGTAAGAAAATGACAAATATCTATCATAAAAATGGCCAAAAGGGGCCGGGCATAATGGTGCACGCCTTTAATCCCAGCACCCAGAAGGCAGAGGCAGGTGGTCTGTGACCAAAGCCAGCCTGGTCTACAAAGTGAGTTCCAGGCCGGCTGGGGCTACAGGGAGACCCTGTCTCAAAAAGACCAAAAGAAGGTGGGGTGGGGCTGGGTTAAGGAGCCTGTTGTCAAGCCTAACAACTTGAGTTCAGTCATCAGGACCCACACAGTAGAAGGAGAGCATGGACATCCCCAAGTTTTCCTCTGACCTACACACACACACACACACACACACACACACACACTAAATTAAAATGTAATAAAATATTTTAATGGCCAAAGGGCATCAACATACATTAATATGAATAGCAAGCAAACATTATCCAGACCTTATACCTCCTTTGCAGTGAAGAAATAAAATCACTCTTAAAACAGTTTAAACTGGAGGTCAGAATGTGAGGCCCTGATCCCCAGCACCACAAAACAATAATTTAAATTGTTAAATTGACAAATAAAAAAAATTTTATTGGGGCTGGAGAGATGGCTCAGCGGTTAAGAACAATGGTTGTTCTTGCAGAAGACCCAGGTTCGAATCCCAGCACCCACATGGCAGCTAACAACTGTTCCAGGGGATCCGAAGGCTTCTTCTGACCTCCGCAGGTGTTGCATGACATGGGTGCACTTACCTACATGCAGGCAATACACACATACACATAAAATAAAAGTAATAAAAAAATTTTTTATTGAGACAGGGTCTCATGTAACCCAGGCTGACTTCAAACTCCCTATGTAATCAAGGATGGCCTTCAACTTTTGATCTTCCTGCCTCTACCCACCTAGTGCCAGAATTATAAGTATGTGACTATGCCTGGTTTATCTGGTGCTGGGGATCAAATCCAGGACTCTGTACGTGCTAAATAAGCACTCTTCCAACTGAACCAACCCTACTTCTACTTACTTCTAGGTAGTTTTCTTTTAAAATTGTGGATTGTGGGGCTAGAGAAATGGCTCAGCAGTTAAGAACACTGACTGTTCTTGCAGAAAACCCGGGTTCAAATTCCACACCCACATGGCACCTAACAACTGTCTGTAACTCCAGTTCCAGGGGATCCGACAGCCTCTTCTGTCCTCCATGGGCATTGTACGACACACATGCAGGCAATACACGCATACACATAAAATAATAAAATATTTTAAAATTGTGGATTACGTTCATTTGTTTACTTATTTATTTTTTTATGTGAATGACTGTTTTGCCTGCATCTGTGTGGTCATGCAATACCTGCAGAGGCCAGAAGAGGACATTGAATGCCCTGGAATTGAGGCATCATGTGGGTGCAGAGAACTGAACCCAGATCCTCTTCAAGAGCAGCCAGTGCTCTTAACCACTGAGTCATCTCTCCAGCCGCTCATTTATTTTACATTTATTTATTGGGGAGTGAATGCCACAGCACTGAACCATCTCACTGGACCTAGGAAATTTTCTTTGGACATGAGCACATAAGAATTGTTTGTAGTGATAAACTTGGAAGTAACCTCAATAAATCATGGTACATACAAACAATAGAATCTATAGAGCCTTTAAGAGAATAAGGGAGAGATGGTTCAGTAGAGCACTAGCGGCTCTTCCAGAGGTCCTGAGTTTGGTTCCCAACACCCACATGGCAGCCCACAACCACCCTGTAACTCCAGCTCCAGGAGATCCAATTCTCTTTTCTGACCTCCATGGGCATACACACGGACCATAAACTTACAAAGACACACACACAAGAACACACATAAATAGAAATAAATCTTTAAAAAAAAAAAAAAGTAAACTAACATGTAACATAGAAAAATGTTGAAGACTCCATCTCCCAGCCTCCCTTGAAACTAGGCAGGGGTCAGATTTCTAGATGTGGCCAATGAATTGTGGGACTAGAAATAACTAATAACTAATAAAGTTACTTCTAAGCCTGTTTCCTGAGACTTCCCACATGACTCTAGAGCCTCTCTTTCAAACAACCAGAAACAAAAAGCCTGTATAACTTTGCACGTATTTTGTTGCCAGGACTGTGGAGAAAAAGTCTCTTATAATTGCTAATAGGGATGCAAGATGGTACCTTTGAATACTGAATAGCTGCTTGGGCATAGAGGCACACATCTTTAATTCCAGCACTTAAGAGGCAGAGACAGGTGGATCTCTGTGAGTTCAAGGTCAGTCTGGTCTACATACTGAGATCCTGTCTCAAAACAAACAACAAACACAAACAAAAAAGAATACTGAAAAATATATAGAAATATTTATTCTTTGAACTTTTCACCTACTTCAGTAGATTTGGAAAATGTACCACACTACTAGACTTAAAAAATAAACAGAAAACACAGGAGAGTTGGTCTTCTTTAAGGGAATAATGCTAAGGAATAGCAATAGGCTGACCAGGCTCCAGTGGATAAACTCACACAGAGGGACATCTGGGGACACAAACTTGACTCAATAGGCCTTAGCATATGTGAAAGAATTCGTAAATTCGGTGGAAAGGGCTATGGGGGGGTGCACATAGGGAAGGGGGTCTAAATATGATTAAGACATATGAAATGCACAAAATTCAAGAAAAACATATATTGAAAAATAAATAAATACATAAATAGAAAACAGAGAGCCAAGCATGATGGCTCATACCCTTAATCCCAGCACTCTGGAGGTAGACGCAGGCAGATCTCTGTGAGATCGAGGCCAGCCTGAGCTACACATCGAGTTTCAGGTCTGCTAGGGCTATAGGAAAACTTTGTTTCAAAAAAAACAAACAACGAAAGAAAAAAAGGAAGGAAGGGAGGGAGGGAGGGAGGGAGGGAGGGAGGAAGGAAGGAAGGAAGGAAGGAAGGAAGGAAGGAAGGAAGGAAGGAAGGAAGGAAGGGAGAAAACAGATGATTCTCCATAGCAGTATTGTATATAACAGCAACAGACTAGAACAACCCAAATGTCTATCAGATAGCTGGACAAATTCTAGTATATTACCATCCCCTGCACTGGAGTATTCAGCAGCAATTTTTTTTAATTTTCAAAATTATTATGTTTATTTTATGTATATAAGTGTACTGCCTGTGCGTGTGTAAGTGCACCTGCATTGTGCAATGCCCGAAGAAGTCAGAAGTGGGTGTTGGATTCCCTGGAACTGGAATCACAGACAGTTGTTAGCCATCACGTGGGTGCTTGGAATTGAACACCTGGGTCCTCTGGAAAAGCAGCCAGGGCTCTTAACCAATGAGCCATCTCTACAGCCTCCTCAGCAGCAAATTTAAAAAACAAAAAACATATTTTTGTTTCTTTATTTCTGTTTTTTGGATTTTTGAGATAGGGTCTCATGTAGCCCAGGCTAGCCTCAAATTCACTATACAGCTGAGAATGACCCTGAATTCCTGATCTTCCTGCCTCAACCTCCTGAGTTCTAGGATTACAAGCATACACCACCATGCTCAGTTTATGCAGAATGGAACACAGGGCTTTGTGTATACTAGGCAAGCACTCTACCAACTGAGCTACATCTCCAGCCCAAAATGACATAATGTCTATGGACAAATTCAGATATGTGAATTAGAAAAAGCAAAAACTGAACAGAGTAAAAAGTATGATATCTATTCTATAATAAAACATGCACACAAAATACGGGAAAACATATTTATGTATATGTAAACCTTAAAGAAAAAAAATGACGCAGGCAAGAATCAGGAAATTATCCAGGAGCAAGAGGGAAAAGAATTTGGTGAATATAATCTCTTATGGTTTTGCTACTTCAAACAGATATTAACCCTGCTACATAGCAAAAGCAGAAAGCACCAACCAAATGCTTAAAAATGAACATCAGGGGGCTGAGAGATGGCTTAGCAGTAAAGAGCACTGGCTGCTCTTGCAGAGGACCAGAGTTCAGTTCCCAGCACCCACATGACAGCTAACAACGATCTGTAACTCTAGTACCAGGGGATTCCATGCTTTCTTCTTACCTCTGTGGACACTGCATGATATGGGTGCACTTACGGACATGCAGGCAATACACTCATATACATAAAGTAAAATAAGAATAATAAATAAAGCCGGGCGTGGTGGCGCATGCCTGTAGTCCCACCACTTGGGAGGCAGAGGCAGGAGGATTTCTGTGAGTTCAAGGCCGGCCTGGTCTACACAGTGAGTTCCGGGCCAGGTGGGGCTACAGGGAAACCTTGTTTCAAAATGACCAAACAATAATAATAATAATAATAATTTTTAATGTGTATGTGTGTATTGCCTACATGTAGGTAAGTGGGTACTCGGAGGACAGAAGAGGCTGTCAGATCCCCTGGAACTAGAGTTACAGACAGTTGTTAGTTGCCATGTGGGTGCTGAGATCTGAACCCAGGTCTTCTGCAAGAACAACCAGTATTCTTAACTGTTGAGCCATCTCTCCAGCCCTAAAAAAAGGAACATCAGGGGCTGAGAGATGGCTCAGCAGTTAAGAGCACTGGCTGCTCTTGCAGAAGACCCGGGTTCAGTTCCCAGCACCTACATGGCAACTAACAACCATCTGTAACTCCAGTTCCAAGGGATCCAACATCCTCTTCTGGTCTCTGTGGACATTGCACACATAGGTACACTTACATACATGTAGGCAAAACACACAGATAAAAATAAATAAATAAATAAAGGGGGCTGGAAAGATGGCTCAGCAGTTATGAGCATTGACTGCTCTTGCAGAGGACCCAGGTTCCATTCCCAGCACCCACATAGCAGCTAACAACTGTCTGTAACTCCAGTTCCAAGGGAATCTGATGCCCTCTTCTGACCTCCATGGGCATTGTACAACATGGGTACACTTACATACATGCAGACAATACACTTATACACATTAAAAATAAAAATAACAAATAAAATGGCTTAGAAATAAATAAATAAATCGTTTGCTTTTTTTAAAATGAACGTCACTAGGGTGGGACTGTAACTTACTGGGTGAACATCTGCCTAGCATATGTGAGACCACAGGTTCAATCCCCCAAGGGAGTAGAAAGACATCACACATACCTGGGTATGGTATGCTGAAAAGGCCACTTCTACAGTGTTCCACCCCAAGATGGACACTCCCAATGTAACTGCAAAATTACAAGGCAGAAACCAATGAGGGCTTTTCTTTGTCTTTAAAGACAGGGTCTCTATTTAGCCCTGGCTTGCCTGGAATTCACTATGTAGACCAGGCTGACTTTAAACTCACAGAACTCCACGTCTCTGCTTCCTGAGTGCTGGGATTAGAGGTGTGTGCCATCATGTCAGGCCCAAACAAGGGATATTTATAAAATAATGAGCCTAAATGCCTTAAAAGTACCATTGGTGGCATGGTGGTATGATGTAGCATGTGACCTCTTAGTGGTACAGCCTGGACAGGTGCAGAGGCTGGTAGGCAGAAATTTTTTAAATTTTTTAATTGAATTTTTGTGAATTTCATGTATTTTGATCATACTTAGATTCTCCTCCTATCTGCACCCCCTTACAACATCCCACCCAATTTCATGTACATATATAGTACATATATAATACATATATATACATATATGCATATGTATGTGTGTGTGTGTGTATGACCTATAGAATCAAATCTGTGTTCTCAAATGCCCCTCCCAGCAGCCATTGCCAATAGTTCCTCTGGTAGGGTTGGGGTTTCTACCCAGTCAGTAACCTTTTTTAAAAATTATGTTCATGGGGCTGGAGAGATGGCTCAGCAGTTAAGAACATTGGTTGTTCTTGCAGAAGACCCAGGTTCAAATCCCAGCACCCACATGGCAGCTAACAACTGTCCATAACTCCAATCCCAAGGAATCCGACACCCTCTTCTGACCTCCACGGGCATTACACAACACAGGTGCACTTACCTACATGCAGGCAATACACGCATACACATAAAAATAATAAAAATTTTTTTTAAATTATGTTGATGCCAGGCATGGTGGCACATGCTTTTAATCCCAGCACTCAGGAGGCAGAGGCAGGCAGAGCTCTGTGAGTTCAAGGCCAGCTTGGTCTACATAGTGAGTTCCAGGACAGCTGGGGCTACAGGGAGACCCTGTCTCAAAAAGACCAAATATATATATATATTTATATATGTTCATGGGTCTGTGAGATGGCTCAGTGGGTAAGGGTATTTGCTTTCAAGCTTTATAACCCAAGTTTGATTTCTGGGATCCACACAGTGGAAAGAGAGAACTGACTCCTGCAAACTGTCCTTTGCCCTCCATACATGCATCATGGCACACGTGTACATATACACACACTAAATAAATAAATAAATAATAAATGTAAAACAATTTAATAAATGCAGAAAACATTTTAGAAGTATGTTTAAAGATGATTCATGAAAGATCAGAAAGGGGCAGTAGCAGGCACAAACTAGGCAGTTTGTTTTCTCCTCTCTACGTAGTAATGAGGACTGAGTCCTCAAGTGAGGGTTGCTCGTTAAGAAAATCCACAAATAGAATTGGAAATGAAATCCAAATAGATGTGCAAATTGCAACACAGAAACAGGAAAAACATGAGTGTCACAGTCAGCCAGTCACACCTTGACACACATGGGAAGAAGGAACCTCAGATAGGAAACTGCTTCCATCAGATTGGCATGTGGGCGTGTCTATGAGGCATTTCCTTGATTATTGATTGATGCAGAAGGGCCCAGTCCACGGTGGGTGGTACAATCCCTAGGCAGATGGGCCAGGGCTGTGTAAGAAAACTGGCTGAGGGGCTAGAAAGATGGCTCAGTGGTTAAGAGCACTTGCTTCTCTGGCAGAGGAAGTGGGTTCAGTTCCCAGACCCACAGAGCAGCTAGCAACTGTCCCTCAATCCAGTTCCGGGGGAATCCAACGCTCTCTTCTGGTCTTTATGGGCACTGCACACATGGGTATACCTACATATATACAGGCAAAATGCTCATACACATAAAATAAAAATAAATAAAGTGTTTTTTTTAAAGAAAGCTAACTGGCTGAGCAAGGCAGGAAAGAGCATTTCTCATGGTCCCTGCCTCTGCTCCTGCTGTAGTTCCTGTCCTGACTTCCCTCAGTGATGGTCTATGATTGGGAAGTATGAGCCTAATAAACCCTTTCCTCCCCAAGCTGCTTTTGGCAGGAGCAGACAGCAGACTAGAACAATGAGAGAGTAAGGCAGCACGCACCTCTGAGAGAGTCTAACTCCTCAGATACTGAACCCAAAGCTAGTGGAAGGGTTGAACAGTGAACAGACAACCCAAGGGTCCACTCCTATAAATGACTGAAAAGAAGCAGCGGACAAGCTGATGAATGAAGTCAGGAAATCAAATCAGATGTTGATAGGTTGTCAGTGTAGAAAAAGAAAGCAACCTGGAAGAGAAATTCTGCAAGGAAACGGAGATCTGAGGGAAATTCTAAAAGACAAACAAAAATCCTAGAAATGAAAAACTCAATGAGTCAAATAAAAACTCAGTGAAATCATCACCAATAGACTAGATCAGGTAGAAGGCAAAAATGCAAGGATGGAAGACAAGGTTGAAGAAATACAACATTCCAATATTAATAAAGAAAAAGGGGAGGAAGGTTAAAGAGATGCTCAGTGGTGAAGAGCACTGGCTGCTCTTGCAGAGGACCCAGGTTCAGATCCTAGCACCGACATGACAGCTAATAACCATCTATAACTCCAGTTCGAGGGGATCTGATGCCCTTTTTCTGATCTCCACGAGCATTGTGTGACACAGTTGCACTTATATTCAGGCAGGCAATACACACATACACATAAAATAAAAATAATAAATAAAATTTTTTTAAAGAAAAAGTAAGCATGACCACAACTTCCAGGAACTCTAACACATGACCAAGAGCCAATCTTAGAATCCATGAGGTAGAAGTAAGCTGTTAGGAAAATAAAGGCATTGGGCCAGAGAGACAGCTCAGTAAAGAGACCTGTCACCAAGCCTGATGACCTGAGTTGAATCCCAGGGTCCACATGGTAGAAGTAGAGATCCCACTCCCAGGAATTGTCCTCTGACTTCCACATGAGCACTGTAAAACACGTATACCCTTATACATGCATATGTATAATACACACACACACACACACACACACACACACACACACACAAGGAAGCTAACAACCAGCTGTAACTCCAGTTCCAGGGAATCTGACGCCCTCTTCTGTCCTCCTCAGGCACTGCATGCATGTGGTACACATATATACATCAGGTAAAACACTCATATACATAAATAAAATTTAATTAGTTAGTTAAATAAAGTTCCTCAGAGTCCAGTCAAGGTGCTTTGAAGGCACATGGAGAGCAGGCCCTACCCACCACCGACCTGCTATGGAAAGGTAAAAGTCCTTGAAATCCTTGATCTCCCTGGAGCCCTCACAGGCCGCAAGACATTCGTAAAAGGCTTTGAAGAAGTCAGGGAGCGCAAGCTCCATGTCTGTGATGGATGTCCTCCAATTCTCCCCATTGTAGGCTCGTACTGCTCGGATGAACAGGCTCTGAAAAGCAAGGAGATGAGGTGATACTTGCAAGGAGGCCAACCTGTCCCCTGAAAGGAATCAGGACTCTAAGTTCCACTCAGTCAGTCCTAGATGGCCCCTAACTAAAGCCAAATACTGATGCACTTTACAGCTAGATTTGTCTTCACTGTTCACAATAAGAATGTTTTATTTATTTTGAAACTGAGTCTCTTGTAGCCCAGGCTGACTTCAAACTCCATATATAGATGGGGATGACCTTGAACTTCTTTTTTTTATTTATTTATTTTTATTTTAGGTGTATGAGTGCATCTGTGTTGTGCAGTGCCTTCAGAGGTCAGAAGAGGGTGTCAGATCCCTTGGAACTGGAGTTATGGATAGTTGTTAGCTGCCATGTGAGTGCTAGGATTCAAATCCAGGCCTTCTGCAAGAACAACCAGTGGTTTTAACCACTGAGCCATCTCTCCCCGAACTCTGTTTTTTAATTTCCTTTTACATTTTATTTATTTTGTGTGCACACTTGTGGAGGTCAGAGGACAACCTGCAGGAGTCAGGTCTTGGCTACCACGATCCCTTGGGTACTGGGGATCAAATTCACGTCATCAGGCTTGGCAGCAAGTGCCCTTACCCAATGAGCCATCTCATAGGGCCAACCTTGAACTTCTGATCTTTTCCTGTTTCCTCCTGAGATCTGGGATTATAGGTGTGCACCACCATGACCAGTTTTATGCACAGCTGGGGATGGAACCCAGGGCTTCATGCATGCTAGGCAAGCACTCTACCAACTGAGCTACACTCCAAGTCCAACAATAACTATATTTCTTACTTAGTTAAGCTCAAAAAGCAGTAAGTGCTTGATAATAAAACCAGACTGAGAACAAGGGAAAAACTGACAGAAATCATCAATGACTTCTGGGAGTCAGGGACTGGGGAGAAGGCCTCACCACAAAGGGATAGGAGGGAATGTGTCAGTTAAGTGATGAAAAATTCCATACCATGTCCATGGGGGCTATCCCATGACTACACAAAGTCATCACAGCTCATTGAATTATACACTTAAACTTCATAAACAAGCCAGTGTGGTGGTGCAACCCTTTGATCCCAGCACTCAGGAGGCAGAGGCAGGAGGATCTCTGTGAGTTCAAGGCCAGTCTGATCTACATAGTGAGTTGTAGGCCAGCTAGCACTACAAAGTGAGGCCCTGTCTCAAACAAATAAACAAACAAACAAAATTAATAAACAAGCTCTGCATAGTGCTCCATGCCTAAAATCCCAGCACTTTGAAGGAAGAGGTAGGAGGATCAGGAGTTCAAGATCATCCTCAGCTACATACTGACCTTGAGGCCAGCCTGGGTAACTTGAGATCACCTCTCAAAAAGCAAAACCAAAAATCATAAGTATATTGTATTTATCTCAATATAGCTGATTTTAAACACTGAATCAAGAACAAGATACAAATTTGCTCCCCACAGCAACATAGACTGGGGTAGCCTGCACCTAGTTCTTGAGAAGGTGACCATGTGCCAGATCATGGATTCAGACTTTCTGTTGCCAGTTGCCTCAGACAAAAAGGAATAAACATTTGAGGAGGCAGTTTGATCTCTAAGAAATAGAGTTCCTGGATATGTGCAAAAGCCTGCCAACTTAGAGAAGCCCAGACAGGCTGCAGAACAGGCATGAGATTCTCAGGGAGGAGTTCCTTCCCAATCACTCCTGGATAGGGATGCCTGAGGGCCGCTCCTTGGGCCTGGACTTCTCCTCAAGCCTTACAGAGGCTAGATCTCCGTAAACTTCCCAGCAGGCAGTATCCCCTGGAAATAAGGCCAGGAAGGCTTCCTCAGAGACTAAGTGAGCAACCTCTCTAGGCAGCTGCCTGTATGGAAGCAGAGGTGGTAGAAGCGAGAAGGGAGCATGCAGAACCTCAGAATGTACAGTCAGGGAGCCTCAGAGTGCTCAGGACAGCAGCCCAGTCACCTCCAGTAGGGCCACAGCAGGGAACAAAGCCCAGCTGCTAGGGATATAGCTCAGAGTGCTTGCTTAGCACACACAAAGCCCTGGGTTCGAGCCCCAGTGCCACATAAAACCAAGATGAAGGCTGGAAGACCAGAAGTTCAAGGTTTTTCTCAGCTACATAGCAAATTGAGGCCAACCTGGGCTACATGAGGCCCCCCATCTCAAAATCAACAACAAAAAGAGGTATGTAGCACAGGCTGGTCTGGAACTCATTGTATAGCCCAGGCTGGCTTTCAACTTACAGCAATCCTCATGCCTCAGGCCAACTGCTAGGATCACCCAACTCTAAAACCTTTTTTGTTTCGTTTTATTTTTGTTTTTGTTTTTTATTTTGAGATAGGGTCTTCCTGTAGCCCCAGCTGGCCTGGAATTCACTATGTAAACCAGGCTGGCCTTGATCTCACAGCGATCTGCCTGCCTCTGCCTCCTCCCAAGTGCTAATTAAAAGAGTGTGCCACCATGCCCAGCTAAAAACTCATCTTAAATGGACGAATTCTGGGCTTGGAAGTCAGTTGCTTTTATTGTCATGATATTCAGCAAATGTCACTGAGAAAGTCACAAACACTCTTTAGTATAACACACACTAAATAAATAAATAAAATAAATTTTTTTAGAAAAAAAATGTTAACAGCTGCTCACAGAAATGTTCCCTTTGCCACTTCTGCACCAGCCACTGTGTAAGACCTGAATGTACCTCGTATGACTTGGTTTCCAAGTCTTTAATGTAGTCCTCAGCACCAGGCAAGCTCTTGTAGTATGCCATGTTCCTCTTCATCATTTCATCATCAGGATGCTTCAGGAGAAAAGTGTGGGCAGCCGCAATGGCCTTTGGGATGTTATTGGCCTAAATGTAAAGAAGGAAGATGACACCACAGGATGCAAGCCTTGCGTGTTCCAAAGAATGCTGTTTGAACAACTTTCCTTCCCTCCCTCCCTCTTTTTTCCTCTCTCCCTCCCTTTTTTTCTTGCTTGCTTTATTATATTTATTTAAATAAATAAATAGGTTTTTAAAGACAGAGTCTCCTTGTAGGCCCAGCTGGCCTGGAACTCACTATGTAGACCAGGCTGGCCTTGATCTCACAGAGATCTGCCTGCCTCTGCCTCCCAAGAGCTGGGATAAACTGAAAGTCATAATTTTCTCAAGACAGCCATGCTGTCGCCCCTCCCAGGTTCTAGTAAACTGCTCTCTCCCTTGCCCCTTATGGCTAAAGGTTGGGTATACCCAAGTGGCACTGGCCCTGTGGAACTAAACTGTCTCTCTGGGTCCTCTGACCTGCACACACTTCTGTAAATAACTGTCACTTGGTGTGCCACATCTTTTCTGCTGGAACCTTAACAAACACATTAATGTTTTCCTGGATCTCTCACAGAACCTTCTTCCTCCATCTTTAATGACCCCCACTACCTCGTCTCTTACTTGTCCATTCATTCCAAGTATGCCTAGAGCACTTCTCATAGGTAGGGGCTGTCTCCAGGAAGTGGGTCTGTAACACTCAGCAAGAGAGAAAATAAGAAACGGGTTGGCAAGATGGCTCAGTGGGAAAGGGCTTACTAGCTGAGGTGAACCCACACGGTAGCAAGAGAGAACTGACTCCTACAAATTGTCCTTTAACCGCCACATGTGCATTATTGTGTGCATGGGTGTACATGTACATACACACAAGTAACTAAATAAATGTAATTTAAAATTTTTTAACGATATAGAAAACAAAAATGTCCCACCTTCATCAAATACACATTCTAGCAAGTCCTTTTTCCTCATAACCTCAATCAAGAGCCTCTTGTGTCTCACCTGTGTTCCATCAGTCTGCCTTATAAACCTGCCTGTATCCTCAGCTCTCTTCCCCATGGGACTTTGATCCTTGAAGGACCCAGATGTGTGTCTCACCTTTGTCTACATTCCTGGTACCTGCTACAGATCTGGGACATGGCCAGTAACAATCCATGACTTAAGCATAATGACTTTGTAACCATGTGACATTTTCCCTGCTTCCTCTTGTCTCTGTCCTCCTTAACCCAGTGGCCAGCTGATTCTGGGTTTGGCCAGCTGATGATTCTGGGTTTTTCTGCCTCAGAAAATGTAAATATCTGGTCAAAATTCAGAAATGATGCATGGGGGGAAAAAATCTGTTGATTTATATATATATTATTTTATGTGTATGAGTGTTGCTTGAATATATGTTAGTGCATTGTATGTGCAATATCTGAGGAGGCCAGAAAAGGGTGTTAGATCTCCTGGAACTGGAGTTAAGAACAGTTGTTAGCCACCATGTGGGTTCTAGGAACTGAACCTGGGTCCTCTGAAAGAGTAGCAAGTGCTCTTAACTGCTGAGCCATCTCTCTAGCCCCTAATTTTTGAATATTAAGAAATAAAGCTCCAGCATAGTGGCGCACGCCTTTAATCCCAGTACTCTGGAGGCAGAGACAGGTGGATCTCTGTGAGTTCAAGGCCAGCTTGGTCTACATAGTGAGTTCATCCAGGTCAGCTGGGGCTACAGGGAGACCCTGTCTCAAAAAGACCAAAAGAGAGGGAAGAACAAGAAAGAAAGAAAGGAAGGAAGGAAAGAAAGAGAAAGAAAGAAATACAAGTGTTTCTTCTATTTATTTTTAAGATCCCTATGCTCCTGAGAAAGCCCAACAGTTTGGAGGACAAGAGGAAATGGAGATGGAGCAAGAAGAAGTTGACTATGGAAGAAAGGAGAGGGAAAGGAAGTCCCTCAGATTGGGAGGAGATTCTGAAGGATCTCTAGAGGCCACAAGGTCCCAGAAACGTAAGATTGACAGCCAGTCGATTCAAAGTACTGGGAACACAGGAGGCCTCAGGCAGGGCAGGTGCGCGGTGGAGGGACCTTCTGGAACAGTGTGATGCTTAATCTTCATTGTCAACTGATTAATCTAGAATCACCTATGAGAAAAGCCCCGCCTGTGTGGAATTTTCTAGATTAAGTTTCATTGTGGTGGGAAAACAGGCCCACTGAGTTAGAACCATTCCACGGCTTGGGGTCCCAGACTACTTGAAAAGGAGAAGGTGGGAGGGGGTAGCTGGGCACCAGCATTCAGCTGTTTCCTGACTGGGTGCACTGTGGCCAGCTGCCATGACTTCCGGCCAGGATGGACCGTATTCTCAAACTGTGAACCAAAATGAACCCTTTCTTCCTTAAACTGCTTTTATCAGATTTTTTTTTTTTTTTTTACAGCAGCAAGAAAAACAATACAGGCAGGGAGCTGGTGATACAGCACCCTCCCTGTGGGAACACACGCTAACAAAGAGACCCCCGTGTTGACAGAATCCTAGAGCCACCTGGGAGTAGGGCCTTCGCCACCAATGCACATAGGGTATCCTTCAATTCAGAGGAACGCTCTGAGGCAGGAAGCAGGGTTAGGTTTAGAAAGAAAGAATATGTGAGAGCCAGCAGATTCCTGAGACTCACAGGGGCACCCCCTCTGTACCAAATGCCCCCAAATTTGAGCCAAGTCATTCCAGAGACAAGAGCAGTTACCATGAGGAGGAAGGGTGGTTGGAGAGGAGGGCAGGTCCTCAGATGTCAAGATTGACACATAGGGAGCAATAGTAGGAGGTCGGTAGGACTCCGGGGTTGAGGGCTAGTCTGGATAAGACTGAGCATAGCCAATGACATGAGACTCATTCTCAGAAGAGCATTTAGAAAGGAGTGCAGGGGCTGATATGATGGTTCAGTGGGTTAAAGGTACTTGCTGCCAAGCCTGATCGCTAAAACCCACATGGTAGGAGAAAACCAACTCCTGAATGCTGTCCTCTGACTGCCACACATGTGTAGCAGCACACACAACACACACAAAATAAATAAATGTTTAAAATAACTTTTCCAACCAGAAAAGGTAAAAAGTGGATTTTGAGAGGTCTCTCTCTGCCAAACCCTGTGAAGGTCCAACAAGCTAACATCCTTCTGCTCAGTAGCAGAAATTTAAGCCACTCTTAAGATTTGGTAGGTCCCCAGGGTAAGGGCTCAAAGGACAGAGAACTGTAATCTGTGTCTATTTTTAGGGAGCAATCACAGACAGAATTTAAACAGCCATGAAGAGGAAGCACGAACTGTGTTAAATTCTAGATGGCAGAGGGAGGTGGAGATGATCTGGATGAATCACCGTGCACAAACCCCACTGAGCAGGGACCTGTGCCTCCATGCCCCAGCCCCATGTCGTTAAGGATTTTCTAACTTCTCAGGTCTTTATCATTACAAGTCCCAGTTCAAATTAAGGAAAGGTGACTTTTAGTAGTTTTTCTGTGTGTGTGCGCATGCATGTGTGTGTGTATGCGCATGTGTAAATGTATGCCACGTGTGTGGGTCCCCAGGGAGGCAGGCCAGAAGAGGGTGTCAGACAGATCCCCAGGAGCTGAAGTTACAGGCAGTTGTGAGCTAGTGCTGGGAACGGAATTCCTCCTCTGTAAGAGCAGCAAGTGCTCTTAACCACTGAGCCACTTCCCCAGCCCCAAGGCGACTTTAATGCTATGTACAGAAAAATGTGCCTACAAAGAACAGGCCACATATATGAGGCCCTTTTTTAGGTGTCCTCTGGGCATATTTGAACATGCTTCAAGAATTGTTCATATGAGCTGGGAGTGGTGAAGCACATGGGAGGTGTGCAGAATTCAGGCTCAGTTACACAGCAAGTCTGAGGTCAGCCAGGTTACATGAGACACCCCCTGCCCCCCATTTCAAAAACAACTTCTACCACTACACAAAGGATAAAGAAAAGAACGTTTGGGGCTGGGGAGATGGTTCAGCATTTAAGAGCACTAGTTGCTGTTGCTGAGACCCGAGTTAGATTCCCAGCACCCACATGGTGGCTAACAATCATTTGTAACTCCAGTTCCATGGGATTTGAAGCCCTCTTCTGTCGACTGAGAGCACTGCACATCACCAGTGCACTTACACACATGCAGGCAATACACTCATACACATAAAATAATATAATATAAAAAAATGATAAGATTTTTAAAAACTGAAAAGAATTTTCATACTTAAGATAAAGGGCAGGCAGGATTTCTAAAGCTTTGACAGAGCTGTGTGGCAGACCTGGGGGAGGGGGGTGTCAAGAAAAGGTGAAGGAGACTGGAGCTCAGGTAAGAGCACTTGGGGCTCTTCCAGAGGTTGGGCGTTCAGTTCCCAGACCCTATCAAGTAGCTCACAGCCTCCTTTAACTCCAGCTCCACAAGATCTGATGCCCTCTGCTCACCTCCACACTCCACAGGCACCCACACACATGCAGCATACATCACAGGCACACACACATACGTACATACATACATACATACATACATACATACAAACATACATACATTCATAAAGGAATGCAGCTCTCAGGGTTGGGGGAAATGGGGCCGAGCCTTGGGTGGGGTCTAGAGCAAGGCATGAGCCTGGAGGCCAACCTCAGATGGGCGGGTTAGACTTGGTGAGGTGGGGTAGGAGCCTAGGGGAGGTGTTCTGTACAATAAGGCGGGGCTTGGCTAGGCAGGGCTGGACCTCTGGGGTGGCCTAGAGGAGGGACCTGGGCTGTGGGGTGGGGGTCCAATATGGGACCACCAAGGATTGGGGTGGGGTTTAGTGGGGAGGGATAGAACGGGCCAGAAAGAACAGGCCGGGGTTGGGCAGTGCTCGGTGTGGTGGGGCGGGGCGGGACTCACGGAGTTGTGGAGGATGCACAGTAGGGTGGTCTGGTGAAGGGTGGGACCAGGCTCGGCGGGGCGGGGGGCGGGGCTCGGCGGGAGGACTTGCCTTAAAGTAGGCGAACTGCAGGAACTTGTAGGGCTCTCGGCGCTGGAAGTCGGCCAGCAAGTCGCGACTGGGCTGTGACTGGCGGAAGGCGGGCAAGCCCTGCTTGCAGCGCTTAAGGCAGTGCGCGCGGCGCAGCAGGCCGCCGAAGAGGCGCAGCTCCGGGTAGCGCGCCAGGCCCGCGGCGGGCGGGGGCTCGGGCGGCCGGCTGCAGTTGCGGTGGCAGAAGGCCTCGCTGTCCCGTAGCAGGCGGTGCAGCCGCAGGCTGATCTCCAGGTAGCCCACGCTCTCCACCCAGTGCTCTCCGCCGTACTGGTCCAGTGCGTGGCGATAGGCCGACTCGAGCGGCATCAGCTCGTCGCGCGGGAAGCTGCGGAAGCTGTAGCGCTCGTACTGGGCGCGCCCGGGACGCAGCGCGCATCCCAAGCACAGCAGCGCCAGCAGCGCGGCGGCCGCGGGTCCCATCGCGCCGGGCGGGATGTTAAAACCACCAGGGCCGGGGCAGGAGAGGAAGACGGGGACCGCGCGACGCGGCAGGCCGGGCTGGGGAGGCGGGGACCCAGGCCGAGGCCCGCCCCGTCCGGCCGCCCCTCCCCGCCCTTCTAGGAGAGACCGCCGGGGGACGTCGCTCAGCCTGGGTGCCTGCACCTGCGGTCCAGCGCTCTGCAGCTGGTTCGAGCTAGGCGCGCCCCTGACGGGTTGGGGCTGCTGGAACCCCACAGTCAGATCCAGCCGGGTAGCGCAGGCCTGAAATCCCAGCGTTCGAAAAGGGAGGCAGGAGGATCATAGTGGGTTCCAGGCCAGCCTGGGCTACATGAGAGCCTTTTTTTTTTTTTTTTTTTGGTCTTTTTGAGACAGGGTCTCCCTGTAGCCCCAGCTGTCCTAGAACTCACTATGTAGACCAGGCTGGCCTCGAACTCACAGAGATCTGCCTGCCTCTGCCTCCCAAGTGCTGGGATTAAAGGCGTGCTCCACCACGCCCGGCTAAGAGACCCTATCTTTTAAAAATGGAAAATTGATAGTCATTTGGAGGACTTATGCATAGTCTGCCCCCCCTGTTTCTGATTTTTGTTTGTTTTGTTGGTTTGGGTTTTTTTGACACAGGGTCTCACTACAGAGTCCTGGCTGGCCTGGAACTCGATATGCATCCCAAGCTGGCCTCAGACTCACCAAGATCCATCTGCCTCTAGAGTGCTGGAATTAAAGGTGGTGCACCACCATTGTCTATGCCCGCAGTTTCTGATTCAGCACATCCAGGATGGTGTGCATTTCTTTTTCATTAAATGTTTTATAATATATATATATATACTTTTTTATGTGTATGTGTGTGTTGCCTGCACGTAGGTAAGTGCACATGTGTTGTACAATGCCCTCGGAGAACAGAAGAGGCTGTCGGATCCCCTGGAACTGGAGTTACGGACAGTTGTTAGCTGCCATGTGGGTGCTGGGATTCAAACCTGGGTGTTCTGCAAGAACAGCCAATGTTCTCAACCGCTGAGCCATCTCTCCAGCCTCTAAATGTTATATTTTCAATTTTTTTTTTGTTTTTTTGTTTGGTTGGTTTTGGGGTTTTTTGTTTTTTTGTCTTTTTGAGACAGGGTCTCCTTATAGCCCTAGCTGTCCTGGAACTCACTATGTAGACCAGGCTGGTTTTGAACTCACAAAGATCCACCTGCCTCTGCCTCCCAAGTGCTGGGATTAAAGGTGTGTGCCACCATGCTCGGCTTAAATATTTTATTAAATATTGTGTGTATGAGTGCATTTGCTCATGCCATGGCCTTTGTGTGCAGGTCAGAGGATAACTTGTGGAAGTTAGCTCACACCATGTGGGTTCCAGGGATCTAACTTAGTTCTTTGTTTTATGAGACAATGTCTCAATATGTAGCCCAGGCTACCCTTGAAGTTCACTAGCCCAAGTTGCCCTTGAATCTCCTGCATCCTCCTGCCTCCCCAGCACTGGGGTCATAGGCATTTGGCATCATGCCCTGAACTGCTGAGGTTTGGGGGAGGTTTGGGGGTTATAGGCCACTTGAATAGGCCTATAAACCATTATAGGCCATTTGATTAGCAATTCCAGACTTTAAGTTTTAGAGAAAGACTGTATAAATAAAATTAATATGAATGCCAGTGGTACTTTGTAAACTGTGATATGTCAGATTAAGGACACACCCATTTTAAAATATGCTAGTGAAACTTGTTAAAAAAAATTCTTTAAACTTTTTAAATAATTTACAGACAAGTTGTAGGGATAGAACCCAAAACTTCTTTTTTTAGAACCCAAAATCCTTATATGCCCTACATGAGGATTTACAAGTTGACTGGGTGTGGTGCATAACTTCCCAGCATTCCAGTGGCTCCAGTGTTTGAGGTCAGTCTAGGATACTTAGTGAGTTGGAGGCCAGCCAAGACTACATAGCAAGAACCCATCTCAAGTAAGAAAAAATAAAAAGATTGACAAGCCTGCTAAGGTTATGGCTCATTTCGTCTTTTTTCTGTTTTGTTTGCATACATCAGGCTTTTGAGCTCCTTACACATTTTTGCATCCTAAACACAAAAATACAATGAATTCTGGAAACTGAACACTTACATGAACTATATTAGCAACTTAAGTATGGGGCGTGCGCTCTCTCTGGTCGCACTCCCAGAATGGCACTCCCCCGCCACACCTGGCTAGTCGCTGGCCGGTCTGGCCACAGGCGTCTCTGGCCGCGGCGGCGGGTGCTCCGCAGGCTTTTCCCGGCGGCTCGGGTCCCATGGCTCTGGAGCTTCTCTGCTACAGGAGCATTGTCCTCCCGAAATCCTGTCCCTATTCCACCCCTGTACTTTTCCTCAGGATGCAAGGTCCACTGGCCACTGAACCTCACGGGAGAAGTATGGAGACAGCGAAAGCTAGGATGTCCACGAGTCAGTAATGAGGGAGTGCTGCCCCCCGGAGAGATTGGGCCGCCAGTAGTGACACAAGACTCAAGACTCGGCTTAGTCTGTGCTACAGCTTTATTCTCTGAGACCCAGCTCTCTGTGTCCCAGCTTTCTGTGACCCAGCTCTCTGCAGCCCAATTCTCTGCAGCCCAATTCTCTGACTATTAAGAGAAGACTAAGACATTTATACCATGGGGGTAGTGGTAAAAGCTTTGGCTGTTAGATGCTTTGTGAGGCATTTTATTTACATATGGAAGTGGGTTTCTGCCAGACTGCTGTCTGCCTGGAGAAATTACAGGAAGGCATGGTACCTTTCAGAGCCAAAGGCCATGTTTATGTTATGGCATTTGTGGCGGACACTTTAAAAGGAGAGACAGGAAAGATGCCAGGAAGACACCCTGCTATGAAAGGAGCCCTCAGCACATGATCCCGAGCTGCATGAGCTGTCCGGTCGTGAAGGGGCTTCTACTTTGCATAACAGAGGTCTCCAACACTTAAGTTTCTCAGTCTTGCTCAGAATAGCTATTTTAACAATAGCCTCTTTTCACTTATGGGAAATATTTAAAAAGAGACAACAGCCTTGAGCTCTAAGAGATAGCTCAATCACTAACCAGTGGAACGTGCTAATCTCAGACATTCTACATCTGGATAACTGCTTGTTTTCGCTTCTGTAACTTGCTATTTTAGGTCACCTTGACACAAAGTATAAGCCCACCCTGTTATTGTATGACCACCTGGTAACTGCTGATTTCAGCTTTCTTGCTATACTTGTTATGTCTAGGAAGTTGACTAATTTTAAAGTTACAAAGTTGATTGCCAAACCTGATTGGTTCACAAGTGTCCTGTTTGAATAATATTTCTGTAATCCTATAAAAACTCTGACCCGATGATGATCAGGGCTGTGTGTACTCCTGAGATAGACAGCCCGGCTGGTTGAAATAATAAACATTTACATTGCTACTTTTCTTAAAGTGATGCTGGTGATTTTTTTGCAAACTCTGACCTATAACATTATAGAAGACCTGAATCTGTTCCCTGATCCACTTTCATCTACTTTTTTTTTTATGTGTTTGTGTGTCTTGCCTGCATATATGTAAGTGTACCACATTCATGCAGTGCCAACAGAGGCCAGAAGAGGGTGTCAGATCCCCTAGAACTGGAGTTATAGACCATTGTTAGCTACATGTTAATGCTGGGAATGGAACCCAGGTCTTCTGCAAGAGCAGCCAGTGTTTTTAACTGCTGAGTCATCTCTCCAACCCCTCAATATTTTTTAAAAAATTTTATTTATTGGTATGTATTGGGTCAGAGGGATTCAAAGGACACTTTTTGCTCCTTGCCCTCCTGGGTCGATTAGTTCCCAGGGACTATGAGCATCGCGCAAAATGTCCTGTAATGGTGGTGGGTCATCTGGCCTCTTGATCAAGGAAGCTGAGGAGACCCCACCAGATGGACTTGAGCCAGTGTCCAGTCTATAAAGAGGAG